CTTTCTTTCTTTATTTTTTTTTTTTTTTGGCCTTCTTAATCCTAATCTCTCTGTGCCAGTTTCATCATCTTTAAAAAGGGGATAATAATAGTGTTTACCTTAGAGGGTTGCTTTGAAGCCTAAAGCATGTAGAGCAGTGTCTAGCACATACTATGCACTCTGTACAGGCCAGCTGCCATTGTATCACGCATGACCCTTGTAATTTTGTTGAGACTGCACATGTGAATTTGCTAAAGCATCTTTTATTTTGCTGCTTGAAGTTCTTGTTTTTAGGTTTGGAATGTGAATGCCCTCTCTCCAGCCTTGAAAGAATAGACTGGCTTTTTCTTTACTCCTATGGAAACTCCAGTTTCAGTGAAAGGCATCTTATCACACTAAGGTCATACATGAAAATGGTCTTTTATTAGCCCCTGATTACAATTAACCCTAATTTCTTTCATAGCAGCCACTGCAGTGCCTTCTCTTTAAATAGAGCTCTTCCTGGATGTGACTTTTCTAGCCTCGCTGGGTTTAATTCTAATTTAACTTGCTGGTCCAATGGGGACTATTGTGCTACTGAAGCCATGATTTACTCATTTGTTCTCTGTAAATCTAATTACTACAATGCTTGCCTCTGAGGCCCCCTCCGGCTTTCATTCACTACTCTGAATGGTCTACCCTTCTGGGGAAGGGATTGGGCCTTCAGTTATTGTTCTTTTGAACTTTACAGATGTGATTAGTACAGTATTTGGTAGCACACTAACAACTACTTTACCTCAACCACTTTTAACATAGCAAGTTTAGTACTAATGATTAGTGGAAAATTCCTAGACTAGTGTATGTAATAAAGAATGACTTGCGCATTTCCGTTCCACAAAACAAGACCAGTTTTTGAAGCATGAAAGTCAAGTTGTATACATTTGAGGATACCCCAAATGTGTTCTAAAAACTGAGCAATTACTCAGAAAGCACAGGAAGGCCAAAGGAGAAATACCTGGTGGGTTTGAACCACCAGAGGAGAAATACAATGAATTGTAACTGTAGCTGTCTGATACCAAATGCCCATATTTATGGGTGGTAGCAGAGTAAGATGGGGCAGGATAATATTTCTGGGAATGAAGGTCATTATTTTGCCCCTTCCTACTTACATAGATACTTCCTAGGATGAAAGGGAAACATTTTATTATCGTTTCATTCACTAAACCCAAAACCAAACCAACTGCCACTGAGTTGATTCCAACTCATAGCAACCCTCATTAGGTTTCCGAGGCTGTAAATCTTTATGGAAGTGGATTGCCTCATCTTCCTCCCATAGAGCAAATGGTAGATTTGAACTGGAGAACTTCTAGTTAGCAGCAAAATGCCTTATGCACTGTGCCACACAGAGCTTCTTGTATTTCATTCACTAGTGTCCTTTAATTGTTTTTAAGAGATCTCAGTGGCTTCCAACTGGGAATATTAATTGTCAGTAGTGCTTTAGAATGCCCTTTCCTGAAGTTAGAGGAGGGAACTGAGGTACTTACATCATGTGGTTTTAATGGTTATTCAGGTTCCTGATATTCAATAGCCACTTTGTATAGCATTTAAAATATGAAACTCATGGAACTGAGGATGTGAGGGAGGGATTGAGTGTCTGTTATCTGAAGACTTAACAATCAAAGGATCCTAAGGGTCGCTATGAGTCAGGTCTGACTCGACGGCACATGACAACAACAACAACAGAACAAGTTCATGATGACCCTGTGTGTGTCACAGTAGCACTGTGCTCCACAGGGTGGAGTCAGATAATCTTATTTGGAAATAGATCACCAGACTTTTCTTCCAGGGTGCCTCATGGCTGTCAACCATTCAGTTACTAGATGAACACGTTTGCAACACCCAGGAATTTCAAAATTAGGAGTACTTTACTTTTAATAATCATTCATTAATTCTATTTAACAGACATTTCTTGAATGTCTCCTATGTCCTGTGCTCTAGAGATACAGAAATATCTGATGCCTTCACCTTTATTGTCATCTTTCCAGTCATGCTCTTGGCTTGGTCAACTCCTCAATCCATGGTAGCCAACCTCCTGTGGTGCCTGCCAAGTATGGAATCATGCTGTGTATCTCTGCACAACAGAGGCCCTCCTTGAAGTTGAGTTGTCCTTTCTGTTCCTGTGTTCTTTAGGTTCTTCTACACTTTGGTCCCTATTTACCTCAGCTGCACTTACTTTCCTACCTTTCCAAAAAGATATCACATAAGTAATAATGAAAAGTAGGGCCTAGCCAAGGGGTCTTTGACATCTGAGTTTATTTCTGCTATTTGAAAATGGGAACCAAGGAGACATTTCACCCACTGAATGTCACTTAAGTCAGTTTTCTGTGTGTAGCTATTTGTTACATATACAACATAAGACCTTTAGATGATCATTCTTTATATTTGCCCGAAAATGTTTTCACTTTAGAATGGGGAAAACCACTTTTGTAGCCTTAAAGCCATCCACCAAACATGTCTTTATTTTAATGTAAATTCAAAACTCTTAGTGAAGCAATTTCAGACTATTCTGTAGCCCTTGCGTTGGTTTCTATGCTTGCCATATAAGTGGTTGATGGACTGTATAACTGCATTATTTCATTGGTCCCTTGAGGATCGTTTAGCAGTTATTTGGTTTTAAGTTCAGATTTATTTTCCACTTTTCTTGGTATGCACAAATACACAGGAAGATAAACAGCTAAAAATCAACCACAGGCAAAACAACATGTGAATGTTTGTGCATAGTTACATTCAGACATCCATATATTAATATGTAGAAATCGTACCAAACAAAGTGTTCTTATTATAAACTTGAAATTATAATCTAAAGAAGGAAACAAATATTTTATCATTTTCTCTATTTTTAAAAGATGTCAAACATTGTAAAAAACAATTGCCTCTATTTTTTAGGTCTCAAATGCCAAAATGTATTTATTTTCATTACTAGAAATGTAAGAAATAAATTACAGTTGCTGTATTATCGCACACAAAGTCTTATTTATTCATTCACAGGAATCACACCTGTGTGCCAGAACAAAAGAGCTAAAGCTCTTTTTACGTGTGCAGGCCAGTCACACTGTTTTGACTCTTTTCACAATGGGTTTCAGTCCATGCAACTGAATCAATTATGTCAAAAACCACAAAACCACATTAATTGATTGATAAGAACCCTGAAAATAATAATTCAGCCACACCATAGATTTTGCTAACCTAGACCTTGCATAAAACTATTTATGACACAGGTAAATAAATAGCCTTTATGGTTGAATCTTACATAATAACTTATCAAGCTGTGGTTGCTGAATTTGTTATTTTTACAATGGTAAAGATACCTTAAAAACTTAAAAGACACATATGAAGGAGACATTAAAAAAAATTCGTTGGAGCATGTAATAGGAAATATTGTAGATCATCTAAATGTTCATCACTTGGGAAATAAATTTTAAAACTCTGAGATGCATATTTATTGTGCTACTGCAATATTTCATCTAAGTCAGGGTTTGGCAAACTGTATATAATCTATAGGCCAAATACAGCACACTGCCTGTTTTTGTAAATAAAGTTTCACTGGAACATAGTTATGTTCATTTGTTAACATATTGTCTATAGATGTTTTAATGCTACATTGGCAGAGTAGATTAGTTACAACAGAGGCTGTATGGTCCTCAAAATCTAAAAAAAGAAGGAATTTATTATCTAGCCTTTTATAGAAAAAGTTTGCCAACCCTGGACCTAAGATAAAATGTCCTCTCCTGTAATATACACCATTGTTTATGTACCACTAATAAAAAAAGGAGCTCTGGTAACACAATGTCTAAGGCATATGGCTGCTAATCAGAAGGTTGATGGTTCAAACCCACCAGCCACTCCATGGAAGCAAGGCTGGGCAGTCTATTTCAAAATTTTAAAAGAATTTAGAAGGATCTAAAGAAACCTGGAAGGAAAAGAAAGGATGAAGATGATGGTGAAGACAAAGGGGAAATTTATCTGTAATGTTTGATTTTCTTAAAAGTGATGATTTAATAAGTTAATTCGATATTTTTAAAACCATTAAATTGTAAAGATGGGAAGAAAACATCAAATTATTAACAGTGGCAATTTTTGATAGTGGGTATATGGGTGATTGGGTTTTTCTTTTTGTTATATTTCATTATAATTTTAAAGAATCAAATGGATAACAAAAGAAAGAAACATAAGTCATATGTCTGTCTCAAAGGAAAAAAGTTGAAGAAGTACCTATTAATCAATTACCTGACATTACCAAATAATCTTATTTTTCTACTGGAGTATTAAAAATAAACAGCATACAAGTCAGAGCCACATTTCATAGTTAAAACTTTTTTTTTTTTTTGGTCATAATGGTAGCATAGCTAATCTTTCAAAACAAAGCACTTTATTCCTCACCATGTGGTGAGCCATCAACTGGAAAAGTTAAATGTACGATTTCCTGAATAGAAATACCTTGTCATGAGTCATGTTATTGTTGTACTGATGTCATTTCTTACAGCCTGACCTCACTGGTTTTGAAAAGTACTTTGTGATTTTACACTGTTTTGTATGTTGTTGTATACATACAGACCAGCGTGTTATTTATTAAATGCATTTAGTTATTTTTCTGTACCAGTGCTTCCTAAAATGTTCTCTGTGTGTTCAAAAGTTCAAAATTATGAGGCGTAAATCTCACAACACCCACCAGATTCTTCCTTCTAATATTGAGGATTTACTCACCTCACACAGCTTTCATTTAGTGTTTTGGGTTTTTGTTTTTGTTTTAAGTCATCTTTCTCTACCTAGGAGTATTTCAGCAGATATGATAAGTCATGCAGCTTGCCTTCAAGATTGAGAAATGAGATATGTCAGAGAAAGTGACCACAGGAAATGCAGACTTGGTGGCCTTGAGTCTGTATGAATTACAGGGTATGAGATTAAGTTCTCCTGCCACTAGAACTGAAATGGAATGATATGTTTCTTACCACTTCACTTCTTTTTTTTTTTTTTCTTTTTAGTTCAATTTCACCATTTAGTATTGAGAGCACAAGACGCCAGAGAAGGTCTGAATCCCCAGATTCCAGAAAACGGCGTATCCACAGATGTGACTTTGAGGGATGCAACAAAGTATATACAAAAAGTTCCCACCTGAAGGCTCATCGGAGGACACATACAGGTACATCTCTGTGAGGCTTTTCACCTGAGGGTCAATAAGAGTCCAGCTGTCTGGCATTTGTCAGTAAGGGTCCTCTGGCTGGCACTTGACTCTAGAGCCATGCTTTGTGATGGTGGCATTTGATACTCACACACTTACACATATCTACAGTTTAGTTTTAAGGAGCTCTGGTGACACAGTGCCTAAGGCCTTTGACTGCTAACCAGAAGGTTGGTAGTTCAAACCCACCAGCCACTCTGTGAAAAGAAGATGGGGCAAACTACTTCTGCAAAGATTTACCACCTCAGAAACCCAATGGGGGTCGCTTTGAGTCAGAATCAACTCAATGGCAGTGGGCATTTTGGTTTCTTAAAGTTTAATTTATTTCTTCTGGGCAGAATGCATTTTTTCTCTCTCCTGAGTCATAGTGAATATTAGAAACCAGTGAAATATTTCCTTTATTTCATTGGTGTGAACATGGTGATTTAGTTCTTAAAATGATGTGAACCGTATGGTGATTTAGTTCTATCACAGTCAGCATTACCGCTTAGTCATCATGCTGTTTATCGGGTTCAAAATGTCCTTGTGGCATGTCATGTAAAGAGCTGAAACAAATTATTCTCCCCTCTTAAAGTTAACATTTTAACTACCCTCCTCAGTGGCTGCAACGAGGGACTCAAGCATAGCAACAATTGTGAGGATGGCACAGGACCCAGCAGTACTTCATTCTCTTGTCCACAGGATTGCTATGAGTCAAAATCAACTGCATGGCACCTAACATGTTTTTTCTCTCCCCTCTAACCTCCCCTGACTTGTGTGTCAGTTTGTCTTACTGTGGTGGCTTGTGTGTTACTGTGATGCTAGAAGCTATGTTGTTGTTGTTGTTATGTGCCGTGGAGTAGGACCCGACTCATAGCGACCCCTCCTTGGGTTTCTGAGGCAGTATCACTATGGAAGTAGATTGCCCCATCTTCCTTCCGAGGAGTGGCTGGTGGGTTTGAACCGCCAGCCTTCTGGTTAGCAGTCAAGTGCCTTAGCCACTCTGCTACCAGAGCTCCCATACTAGCAGGTATTTCAAATACCAGCAGGGTCGCCTATGGTGGACGGGTTTCAATGGAGCTTCGAAACTAAGACAGAATAAGAAGGATGTATCCAGGTCCACTTCTGAAAAAATTGGCCACTGAAAACCTTATGAATAGCAGAGACAACATTGTCCAATATAATGCCATAAGGTGAACCCCTGAGGCCAGAAGGTACTATGTAGTTGCTGCAGCAATGGGCTCAAGCATGGCAATGATTATGAGGATGGCACAGGACCAGGCACTGCATTGTTCCATTGTATGTAAGGTCATTATGAGTTGAAACCAACACAATGGCACCGAATGGCTACCCTCTTCCCAAATAAACAACCAACCAAACAAACACAAATATATATACTTAGCACTTTGGGCAGTTTTACAAACATCTCTACGTAATTCTATTTGATTTTCACTGATTCTTTTTTTGTATAGGGAGAGGAATTTTTGGTATTCATAGTTGACAGAGAAGAAAATTAAGACCACAAGTGACTCACTGGCAATCCCAGCTTCCCTCCATCCCTCCAGGAAATGAGCTGGTGATTTTTCACTTGGTCCCCTTCTCACCTTGATCTATCCCTGCCTTAGGCTGTCCTTCAGCCAGCATCGCCTGGCTCTTGTTGCTTCTGAATCCTTTTGGGTACCAGCAGTGGGAGGCACTGGCAAGAGACTAAAATGGGAAAAGGACACCACAATGACAGTAAGTTTTCTAAGAAATGTGACTGGTGACTGGAATGAGTGAAGCTCAAAGAAGCAGAAAGAACAGAGAAACTCATTCACACACATCCCTGGTAGAGTGCCACAGAATGAGCAAGGCCTCAGTGAGAACAAAGATGTAGCAACGACCTTAAACTCGACACTCAGTGTCCATGACCATATATAGGATCGGCAGACAATGTTTCTACAAGGGTGTTTGTAAAGGCACAAGGTTATAGTCAGTTCTTGGCCACAGCCAGCTACCCAGAGGGAATGAGTAGCAGGACCTGTGGGTTCAGGACCATGGTTGCAGGGGACATCAAGCTCAATTGGCATAACATACTACACAAAAATATTGTTCCACATCCTACTTTGGTGTGCAGTGACTGGGATCTTAAAAGCTTGCAAACGGCCATCTAGATGCAATGATGGGTCTCTCCTCATCCAGGGCAAAGAAGAATGAAGATAACCAAAGATGAATGGAAACAATTAGTCCAAGGGACTGGTACACCATAAAATTCTCAACCTATGCAACTATGAGACCAGAAGAAATAGATGGTGTCTGGCTACCACTGTTAATCCCTCAGAGGGGAATGTATGTAGGAGATCCTGGATACAGGGGGAGAAACAACGTGGAACAAAACTCCGTATCATAAAAAAAAAAAAAAGGACCAGGATTGCTGATCTGATAGAGCCTGTTGGAACCCCTGAGACTATGGCCCCTAGCTGCCCTTCAGGTCTGGAATTGAACCCACTCCTGTGGCTTCCAGTCAGACAAAAGACAGGCATAGGAACTGAACATTTACATTAGGCAGATACATTCCTTGGAGAGATTAATCATGGGAGAATAGAAGGGCTGTGTATACACTGGGAGACAGCTTGGGGGGCAGGAGTGCATGGGAGGTGTGGTAGATATGTTTATGTGTCAACTTGGCTGGGCCTGGTTGAGTGGCTGGGCAGCTGGGGGTAGTTATTCCCCATGATGAGACTGGCAGTCAACTCCATGGTGGGATCTACCACAAGCAGCTGAGTAGCTGCCCTTGAGATGTAGTCTGCTTCCTGTATTTAAGGAGAAGCTTTGAGAATGGTCTCTAGCCTTTGGCATGCATGTCATTGCTCAGCAGCCTGCTATGCTCTGCCGACCTTGGGACTTACAGTGGACTTAAGTTAATGGCCTGCCATGTGGATTGGTAACATTGGGACTGTGCCTTTTTACTTGTCAACCTTGGGGCTTCTCAGCCTCAACAGCCAACAGCTGTCTGAGTGAAGAAATGCCTCTAGCTCCAGTTGGCTGGGAGCAGGAGGCAGAGCTGGACCCCAAGGTTGAGGGGCTTTCACCCAGCCCCTAGAGCCTGGCACTTTGAACTTGGACTTAAAGCCTCCAAACTGTAAGAGATTAAACTCCTGTTTGTTAAGGCCATCCCCTTTGTGGTATATTCTTGTCAGAGCGGCACTAGGTAACCAGAACAGGAGGGAGGAACACAGGGAAGAGGTAACTACGTGAAGGAAGCAGGAGGGAAGCTGCTGCATTATGGGAAGTTGCAGTCATTGTCCTGAGACAAAGTGTATATGAGCTGCTGTATGGAAAATGAATTTGCTCTGTAAACTCACCCAAATCACAATAAAAAGTTAAAAAAAAAAAAAAAACCTCAACACTCAAAGCACAACAGACTCCCATATTCTATGTAAATAGCATTCTCATCTCAAATGTGTTAAAATGATCACACTCTGCAAACTGTTTCTCAGCACAGGTAGCAAAATAATTTAAATCTCCGTTCTTCCCCATTGATTTAGCCCACATTATTATTTCAGAGTATTTGCAAAGTATTTTGTGACTCCAAACCACAAGGCTAAGAATCCTTTTTTTTTTTTTTTTTTGCAATAAAATTGTGGGCTAGAAGATTTGCTTAAAGTCATAAAAGTATTATATTATAGATTTGGAGTTCATCTAAAATTTTGTACTTTTAGTATGCCTAACCAAAAAAAAAAAAAACCAAACTCACTGCCATCAAGTTGATTTCAACTCATAGTGACCCCCTTTGGGTTTCCAAAGCGGTAAATCTTTACAGAAGTAGATTACCCAGTCTTCCTTTCCCAGAGTGGATGGTAAGTTTGTACCACCAACCTTCTGGCTAGCAGTCAAATGCCTTAGGCACTACGCCACCAGAGCTCCTTCTTAGTATGAATAAGATAGTTAATTCAACATACTTTTCAAACTGTCTCTTCCATTTTTCCTCCCAAGCTTTTTCCCTTTTCTACATAATCCCAGATTTTTCTCTCTGTGTTGATTTTTATCCCTATGATAGATTTTCACCCATTATATTTCTTAGGCACTGGTTTTTAATTGATTTCCCTATCATTAAGTCAAAGAAAGGAGCTCTGGTAGCATAGTGCCTAAGGCATTTGACTCCTAACCAGAAGGCTGGTGGTTCAAGCCCACCAGCCACTTCTCAGAAGGAAGATGGGGCAATCTAATTCCATAAGTAAAAAAAACAAAACAAAAAAAAACTTATGAGCTCTGGTAGCATAGTACCTAAGGCACTTGACTGCTAACCAGAAGGCTGGCAGTTCAAATCCACCAGCCATTCCTTGGAAGGAAGGTTGGGCAATCTACTTCTGTAGTGATACTGCCTCGGAAACCCAAGGAGGGGTTGCTATGAGTTGGGTCTGACTCGACGGCACATAACAACAACAAGCAACAAGACAAAGAAGATGTGGAAGTAGTATAAGCACCTTCTATCATATCAGTATATAACCTTTTGCCATCGAGTTGATTGCGACTTACAGTGACTCTATAGGACAAAGTAGAACTGCCTCATAGAATTTCCAGGGCTGGAAATCTTTATGAGAGCAGACTGCCAAATCATTCCTCCATGGAATGGCTAGTGGGTTTGAACTACTGACCATTTGGTTAGCAGCCAAGTGGTTAACCACTGCATTGCCAGAGCTCCTTATGTCAGTGTGTGGGTATACACACACACACATACACACACACAGCAAACTCACTGCCATCGAATCAATTCCAACTTACAGTGATCGCCTTTGGGTTTCCAAGGTGATAAATCTTTATGGAAGTAGATTGTCCGGTCTTCCTTCCACAGAGTGGCTGGTGGGTTTGAACACCAACCTTCTGGTTAACAGTCAAATGCCTGAGGTAGTACACCTCCAGCTCCTTATATCAGTATATAGTGAACACAAATCATAGCTTAAAAGTGATCAAGTCATATTACTGACTTTTTAATGTGTGAT